TTAGGATTAGGGTTAGGATTAGGATTAGGGTTAGGATTAGGGTTAGGGTTAGGATTAGGGTTAGGGTTAGGGTTAGGGTTAGGGTTAAGATTTCTAACACTGCCTCAACTGTTGATTTTAAGACTTTAAAAGAAACATACAGTAGTACCTCCTTTGTTTCCAACCTGAGTTAGGATCTGCTGTAAAAAAATACGAAAGCCTAATATTAAAAGAGGATTTTTAAATTCTTACCTCTGTGTTCGGAGCTGTAGGTGAGCTGCTGTGGAGCCGGCAGTTATGGCCGTGTCTGATAGATCGGCGCTCGATTATCAGAAGCCAAACAGTGCAAAGTGACACTAATTACCATTGATTCAGGCTCACTGGGAGTCTGAACACACAGGGGTTGTGTGTGCTCCTTTTGGCCTCAAATGGCAACGGATTTACACTGACAATTACGTTTATGATCAAGTGCAGGACTAAATCCGAGCGTGAAACGGTGTTTTACATGACAAACGTCAAAAATCTGGACGCATCTACGAATTCCCAACGAATACAAAAGTGTGTCAAGACTTCTGACTCGTATCTAATGGGAGAAATTATGCCACGACCGACCAGTTCTGAGGTTTTTTTGATAATGACTGGCTATTTGTCCCAGTGTTTTGAGCTCTGTGCAGCATTTGGAGTGGATCTGCTGGCTTGTCTGGCTTGTTGTGTGCTCCCCGTGGAGCTTTGCCCCGGGGGTTGAGACAGCTGGGGGGGGGGTGGTGCTATTGAATTATGGATGGAGGTGAAGAGGGGATGAGACTTGGCCTCAGGGGGACATACCCCCTCTGTCCTCAACACTTCCGATTTCGGCCCCCCCCTCCCTGATTGCCCGTATCTCTCTGCCAAAAACAGAGGTTTGATGGGGGGAGACTGGAAATGCGTCCCCCCCCCCCCCCCTCCCTCTCTTTCTTCTTATTACTCATTGGTCATTTTCACTTTCAGCCCAAAGAAAGTCAACATAATGTCAGGAAAATCAAAGTAATGGAGATTCATTCAAGCAAAAATAGATGCTAAAAATGAGTCCGGCTCATGAGATGTGGTCAAATTGTCAAAAGCTTTTTCTCCCGTAGTTATATGTCTAACCTAATTGGAAAACGCCACGATTTAAGGAACATCCGGCAGTGGATTTGTGAGGATTTAAAATATGGAGTATAACCATACTGAAATGAGAATATCTTAGAGCACCTAAAGCTATAAATGTTCAGTAAAAATCCTACAAAAAGCACACATTTCACCAACTAGTTTATTTCATGAAAGCTTTACAATATATACATTATATGATTATAATAGAGGGAAAAAAGAAACATGCCTTTGTTGCTAAGGGGTTTCCAATTAAGATAATATACAGTTTTGCTAATAATTTGAGAATCAGCTCGGACACAGACGGTAAATATGAGAACAATATTTAGTCATTGCTAAAGGAACTGTCTTGTTTCTTTCACAAAGGATGGCGCATTGTTTCTTGCAGTTGAGGAAATAATCCAGAGAGCCCTTTTTTTAGCACTTAGAGAAGTTTACCAATCCTTTTTTCTTTTCTTATTTTACTTCAGGCTCATTTCCCTCAGTCGGAAAGCTCCATAAAAGAAGAAAAAAACTTTGACGGAGTCTGCAGTGTCTTGATTTTCTTTTCCTGTGAATACCTGCAGAGCCACACGTAATAGTAATAGAACGGCTTCAAACAGATGCCGTTTAATTCCTGTTTGTTCTAAATCCTTTAGAATATCTAATTTACCTTTCATTGATAAACTATGCCAATTAGTGCCTTATGAATCAATTCCCTTCTTTTTAAATTTCACCCTCAAATTCTTACGTCATCGGGGTCATTACTGAAACTCTTGTGCTTGTGCTCACCTCCGTGATAACGGTAATAATGACAAACTCCCTTCATCACGTTGCATAACAACGTGACATTTTCCCGCCGTGTTCTTAGAGAAGGCTGTTTGCAGCTGGGTTTATCAGAGGAGATCTCAGCTTTAAAACCTGGCAGAAGAACGTGCTTTACCCCCTTTTCAACTGTCTGGATTTGCATCTTCAAGTGCAAAAATGACATGTTATGTCCTGTTTTGTATTCTTTATTCTTCTTCTAACCAAAGTGGATGATACTCGGCCGTCGGTTGTTCTCTGAGTAACACAAAAATTGCAGATGTCTCCATGCTCAAACCTCTCTTCTAGCCGGTGGCTCCATTCTGAATTTAAACCAAAAATATGCTTTTTCAGTTCTGTTCTTTCTTCTTTTTCATCCACATTGGAAGGAATGTGAAAAAGAATAAGGGTGGAGGCGGTTAGCATGGTTGCGTCACAGCTAAGGGGTTGCTGGTTCGAGTCCCGTGGGCCGTCCTGTGTGGGGTTTGTTCTCCCCTTGTGTCTGCGTGGGTCCAGAAACATGCATTTGAGGTTAATTGAACCCTCCAAATTGCCCCTAGGAGTGACTGTGAGAGTGTGTGGTTGTTTGTCTCTGTGTGGCCCTGCGATGGACCGATAACTCCTGTCTTTTAAGCTAATTCTGATTTACGTTTAGCATCATGGCTGAATTCTAACATTGGATTTTTGCTTCTGTTGCATCGTGTTTAGCTAACACTTTGGTGGCTAACTTTTGGTTTACAAAACACAAAGTGTGGGTGAAAAATACAAATATCTAAGTGGAGTTAGCTAATCTAATCTTTAGCTTGTCTAGCTTTCCCCACTTGTTGTCCCGCCTTGTATTTCCTACAGTTTTAAACTACATGGACATAGCTTTGTTTTGTTTTGTTTTTTTTCAACATAATGATGCGCTTTGATTTGTGCGTGTAGACTATCGCACAAGAAAAGGATTTTAATAAAATCTATTATTGTTTTTCATTGCAGGTGCGGTGGGAGAATGTTTACCTCACAAAATAGAATATAGCAGTCCCCGAAATGACAGGAAATACAGAGGGAGAGGGAGAGAGATTGAATTAAAGTTTTATGACTAATGAATATTTCATGTTTTGGGCAGTGATTCCCACATTCTGGTGTGTGTTTGTGTGAGTCTGTGTGTGCACTGTTATGTACGGGCCTCAGAATATGTGTGGCGAACAAAAAACGAAACAAAAAATAAATAAAAGCTGCATGTAACCCTAATTTAACCCTCTCTGGACCGTGTTCGGACACAATAATCGCTGTCTAGAGTAGTTAGTCATGTTGAAAATATGTAATATCGTAGTAGCATTGCTCCAAATATCAGACATGATACAGTACATCCACAGAAATGCTCCTTTCCCTTCTTTAAAGTCCGAAAAAATAGACTTGCGCTTTTCTCATTGTTGGAGACAAGTTCAAATTTCGCCTAATTCCTCTTAGTTAAAGGTTTGATTCATGTTGTCTGAGCCAATAGGGTTTGAGGCGTGTTTTTTCCAAATTCTTCAGATGAAAATGACCAAGTTTTGACTCACAGGTCAGAAGAGGGATGGTTGATTTATTGTTTTTGGGATGTAAGGCAAAGGTTCTGAGCTTATTTATCTCCTTTGATTGAAAGTGGTTGGATTAGTAATCAATAGGACCGCCTTGTGAAGAGGGTTGTTCCTGCTATCCCTGGAATTTGAAGAAGAAAAACCTCAACAGCCAAAGCTAAGCACGGCATTGATTTCTTTGAAGTATGTTGGACCCCCGCGTTCCTCTCACTTCATAAGCGCTACATAGATGAAACGGGTTATTGATCGGTTGTGTATTGATAAGTTATTTTTTAAAAGGAGAAGATCCAAAGTAATCTTTTCACTGAAAGCAGATTAGTGCTCGGATTTATTCAAGTACATTTTAGTTTTTCTCGATTTGATGACAATTTCTTGCTCAGACCATGTGATCAAATGCATAAAGTCCATATGACAATAAGACTTTTGGTTAATGTGTGAATTGTTTTCTCAGATTGGTTTTGAACTACTTCTGTGGCATAGGAATTTCTCCTTGCACATGGGCTTGATTGGGTAGTTTTGCTTTTAATTATGAATGTCTCTTGAAAAGTTAACCTGTTTTCTATTCTTGCACTTATTTTTTTCTTTTTTTTTTTTGCTTAGTTGTGACCGGTCAAGCGAAAAGGCTGACCCCTAAATGAGCTTCAGCCACATACACACTGTGTGGCCGCTTTATTTACAGTTTGTGATCAAACTGTGTAGGTGGCGTGCCGAGAGGGGTGGAAAAAAATGTGGATGAAAGAATATTCAAGTCTTAGAAAGCTTCTGACTTTTTTTTTCCGTGTCAGTCTTCTGACGTCACCAGGGACAAAAATCTGTACCGTGAATTAAAACCCAAAAGATTCAACAGGTCACATCACAATCTTCCACTGTTTACATATCAGTAGGCACCTTCAACTTTCTAATGGTAGAGTAGAGGCTTGCTTCAAATACAAAAAAATACAAAAAAACATTTTAGGGAAACTGTCTATTCTTTTTTTTATCTGTTTTCTTATATAACCAAATAGTCATATTTGATCGGTTCTTTCTTATGTGACAAGATCAGCCAATGGTGGTCAGATGATGTCACCATGTCCAAAATCAAACGCCTTAAAGAGAACAGTTATTTATCGGTTATTGGAATAATTGCCCACTGAATATACGTGAACGGAATAGTAAAGTATCTTTTAATTATTACTTGAAGATGCCTTATTTGAATTTGTGAGTAGTGAATTAATTGTATGAAAGTGAGAATTAATAGACATGGATTTAATAACTTATTCTGATTATTTCTGATGACATCTATAGGATTGTCTGCAATGTTAATGTGATTTTGTGATTTCTGACTAGCTCGTCCCACTCTTGGTGACAGCTAACGGGGACCTCTTTTCACAATAAACAATAAACGAACTCCTCCTTTGTGAAGCACTCTTTTACAGTCCTCGTTGTCAGTGGCTTGACATACAGTTAACTTGATCTGACTTAATCAGTCTGCCAATGATCTAATACTCCTCCCTGTTGACTCAGTAATGTCAGCTCATGATGGGCCTTTAGATGGAGATATGAGTCAATGAAGACAGACGTGTGTTTGCCAAGCTGCATTGGCTATCCTCAACCATTGATTATGCTCTGCGATCAATATGGCCGCTTGGTTCTCATCCATGCCTCTTGCTGATCATCAACAGTAGCTTACACTCAGAGGCAATAATCCATTCTGTCGGTGCTTTTAGCTTAGCTTATCGAGTACGGCTAACGCTGGAGGTATAGGCGAGCGTTTTGTTTGTGCACATGTCACAGTATGAGAGGGGGACTAGAAATCAATATTACCGATTAACCTGATGATAAACTTAACGTTTCAAGTCCTGCAATGTGTATGCTTTTGCTTCATTTTGCGTATAAGACACGAGGTGGTTTCGCACAGAGATCATTTGAATTTTTTCCGTTAGCTGAAGGTCAGAGAAGATCCTCAAAAGGTGTTGAATATTTGCCCACTGGGGATAGAAATCCACTCGGAGAGGGTTGGATGTAAATGGGTTAAAAAAAGAAATGCAGCTGCAGGGTAAAGATAATCAACTCGTGCTTCGAACAGTGTGGTGCACTTAGTGGATTAACTTCTACCTGTGATCATTCATGTCTGCTCATGTTGGCTCTGCATGATCACAGCACAAATATTTACATCTATTTTAACTATTGAAGTCCTGATTGTGGAATGTTTGAATGCAACGGCAGAAAAATGCTACAAATTTTTAGATTTTAGATGTTTAGAAAATGAAATGTTCAGATGTTAGCTAACCGTGCTTTTCTGTTTTATGTTAAATCTGGGAGGACGTACACTTTGTTTTGTTCTTCAGGATGTTTTCCCAGATGTTTCAGGCCTTAAAGTTTTGCACTCAAGTTTTGAGTGTGGTTATCTGCAAATTTTTCTTTTTTTAATTATTATTACCACCCTATGACTACAAGAACAAAGACCCAAATAGTGAGGCTTTGGCAGGAAACAGGTGGATTTTGTTACAAAGCACCGGTCAAAACCAGGTAATCAGTCAGCAAGACAAACTTTAACAAACAAGCCAGAATCCAGGAGCAAAGACTCAAATATTAATGAGATAACAATAACAGGGGCAAAGCAGAGGAACAGAAACAAGCAGAGGTCACTCACTTTACAACCTCTTGAAATAACACCCCCAAAATTTAAAACAAGTCAAGAACTATAAACTCCAACTTTCTTCATGTAGGACATCCAGTATTGTAATAATATCATAGTGCCCACCATTGACCAATAAAATATACTAGCCATTCAGATTTTTGGCACCAATGTTATTAAAATAACATTTTTCTTCAACCAAAAATGTTACAATTTCGTAATTTCACATCCTTGTGACTTATGATTTTATCTCCAGCTTCCATTTGTGTTTTTTTTTCTGTCTCCATCCTCGTCTTCCTCATTTCCAGTGAACCACAGAGGAGATTCAACCTTTGAACTTTCCGAGTGCAGCGCGCCCTACCCTCATTTATTGACCTCAGTTAGAACAAGGAGGCTTGTTTTTTTCAGCATGCAAATGTTATGGATCATCCCAATCTTGCTTTGCTTTCCCCTCCTCCCATTTTCATTTCCATTCTTTTGCCTTCTGCAGTGCAGGAAACTGCATTTGGTGCATAATCGCCCACTGAGTATTTCTGACTTTTTTTTGCTCCCCCCCCCCCCACACATACATATATTTATTAATTTGGCTTTTTTCTGTGGGCGCTTCTACACCAGATGACTGAAATCATTGGAAAACAGAGATTCTTATTTCCACCACGGGCAAGAAAAAAAGAAAAGAAATAGATATGAAAACATAAAACATCCTACCTGGAAAACCTGATTGATAGCACAAATTTAGACAGATTTTTATTTTTCAAAGGTTAGAGCTTGCTTAGATCCCAGGTTCATCAATAATTACACTCTAAGGCAGGAGAGTATCTACATTTTCAAACAGTAAACAGTGAACTTTAAGTAATGCCTTCTCCGTAATGACTTTCTTTTAGAGAACTACCTTTGTCTTTGCTTCCCCATGTGAGGTGTTTCGAGACAGTCCGCCACTCTTTTGCTGCTTTTATGGTTTGTAACCCATTATGGTTCGGCCTTTTACTTTTAATCTGATCCGAGGATTGGGTTGGTGCTTGGTAATCGGTTAGAAATGAAATTCTGTCACGTCTGGTGTCTCGTCATGTCCTGATTACCAATTGTGTGC